CCGCCCCTCCCCTCTACCCTCCCTCCCCCCACAGCGCAGGGAAACCCTGCGTATGCCTGCCCCAGGGACAACTCACACCACCTACACTGCTACAAGGAAGTCACGATGCTTCTCTTCTGGAGCCAGGGCCCCCTCCTGCAGTGCACCTGGCAAAGCACTACCTCCATTTTCGCTGGAGGTAAGTACTGGGACTTCTTGGGGATGGGTGGAAAATGCGTTGGGGGGGGGGGGGAAGCCTCACGATCGATTGGTCAAGGCCTTGCGATCGACCAGTCGATCACGATCGACCTGTTGGTGGCCATGGCCCTAGAGTGTAGCACCCATCGAGTCAGCACAGTCCTACAAACATTTGTACACATAACCACTATGAGTAATCCCATTGAAATCAATGAAACAACTCATTGGAATAAAATTAGGCATAAGAGTTTGCAGGACCGTAGTTTTAGATTGTAAGATCCTTGGAGCAAAGGGTGTTCCGTGTTTGCATATTGCCTAGCACAGTGGGGGCCTGCTCTATGTTTGGAACTCTTAGACACTTATACAGTGTAATAATATTTATTAAAATTCATCACAGCTGCTCATGGAGTCACGACCTAAACCCAATGGCCTAACAGAATGCAGGAAACCACCATTCTATACTCCTTTTACAGATTGACAGTTAAATTGTCTGGAATCGCCTCCTGTATATCAGTGTCCCTTAAATTTCACCCCATTACTCCTGTATGCAGCCTGGTATTTAATGATCAACTAAAACATTTATTTCAGAAAGACACTCAGTCTTGATCTGAAGAAAAAAATAAAGAATGCACCATTTTCCTTTGTAGTTTCTTCCAACAGTTCATCATTTTCACTGGTGAACATTTTTTACCTCATTTCCAAACTGAATTTCTCTGGCTTCAGCTTCCAGCTATTGGTTTTTGTTATGCTTTTCTTCACTAGATTAAAGAGAATGTTTGTACCCAGCAAGTTCTATGAAGGTTTAATCAAGACTACTCTCAGGCCAGGTCTACACTAGATCTGCAAGGCCATTTTAAGGTACGCAGCTCTAGCCTCACAGAATATATAGCTGGAATCAGCTTACCTTAAGCTGAGCTAGGCGGCTACCCTTACTCCTCACCACTGTGAGGAATACAGATACCAGCTGGAGCTGCCTTCGCATTCTATTTACAGGTCTCTAATAGACTGGCCTCAATCGAATGCCAGAATGTTGATCTCCAGCACAAAGAGTGAAGACAGACCCTCAGTCTTTTTTTTCAGAAGCTAAAAGTTAAATGTGTTAAGTATTTCACTGTAAGCCATTTTCCTCTGCCCTTGAATCACTTTTGTAGCTCAGCATGAAGCAGGTGATATCCAAATCAGGATTTGAGGCCATCACAGCATAAGTAATCATATTTTAAACCTCCACACATGACATTGGCAGAGTATATCACCCAGCCCTGAACTTCATCCTGCATGGATGGACCCTGCTCAGAACCCCACTGAATTTCAGACCCATGTACAGGCAGGTGCCTTCATATATGTATCCTGTGCTGCACTACATGGCTGATGTGAAAGCCTATGAAATATGAACAAATACAAGAAGCAAAACTTCTGGGTAGGGAGAGGGGAAATGATGTTTAGATACATCCAAAAAAAAAAATGGGCAAGGTGTGTGTCAAGGTGTTGCTTGTATTTTAATTCCTTTCCCCCTAAGTTTTGTACCTGTGTCTAAATATTGCAAGCTTTTTGGGGAAAGGACTGTTTTCTTATACGTCTGTATAGTGTCTGGCAGGTTAAATGTTATGAAAGTAATCTAGTCTAGAAAAATTAGAACAATTTTACTGGCAAGGATCTGCTAGTTTCCTTCTACAAGTCCTTCTGTACAAGGACTTAATTTGTCACTGACTGCTACAGTAACAGGCACCTTCAAATACTTTAATTGTAAATGATGATGAATAGAAAGATGAGAGATGGTCTGTACTGTTTCTAACATATCCAGTGAAGGGCATGATAGCTAAAGGATGATGATGCTTTCTGAGGAAATAAGACAAACAATGAGAACAGATGTCCCCGGGGGGAGACTCACTGCCCCTATGTCCCAGGGACAAGCAGGTATGGGAAGGTGCTAGCCAGACTGTGGGCGGGAGGGAGGCCCTGGGGCAGCTGGGCTTCCCTCCATGCCATGTGTGTGAGAGGCAGACGCTGCTGGGCCTCGCTGCGGTGTCCCTGGGAGTGGGTGCTGCCCTGAGCATACAGGCATGCCCACGTGTGGCACCCATGAGTGCACGTGTGTGTGTCTCAATGTCCCCAGTCTCCTGCTAGCAGTGGGACAGTGTCTCACCCTGGTGTCAGGAGTAAGGTAGGCCTCCCCAGACTGACTGCTCCCTGGGAGTAGTGGAAGGCTCGGTGGGAGCAACAGAGTCGCTCATTTTGACCCAATGTGAAGCAGTGGCAGCTGCTGGGTGGCTCAGGGCTGTAAGAGCCTGCTGTGTGTCACAAGCCCTTTCCCTTCTGCCTGAAGCTTTAAGAGCTGCAGGGGAAGGGAAGCATAGAGTTGTGATGAGTGTGGACAGAGGGGCCAGCAGGACACCTGTGATATTTCCTGGCGGCCCCTTATTTTGAAGTAACTCCAGCTGCCCTGCCTACATGCATCCTATTCTGAAATAACTATTTTGGAATAGACATCATTCCTCGTAGAATGAGGCTTACAGAATCCAGAATAAGCCTCTTGTTACTGTGAAATTATTTCAAAATAATGGGCTTGCTGCGTAGACCGTTGCAAAGTTATTTTGGAATAATGAATGTTCTTCTGAAATAACGCTGCTGTGTAGATGTACCCACAGTGAGGATCTCAGGTTTGAGATTGCAGTAAAGATTAATACTGAAAAGATTACTATGGTAAAATATTAATAACAGCTTATCTCTATAGAAAGGTTGCACTGCTCAAAGAATGATGGCTTTGTCCTATTCATGTTATTCACTAACATGTTCCATTTACAATTCATACTGAACATTCTGAACTAATTTTTAAGAAAATTAGATAAAGGATTTTTAAAAGGTCAGAGAAGTAGTGTTTGGTGTAACAGATTTTTCTTTTAAAAGGCCTAGAGTCCATTTTCTTTGTGAAACCTATTTTTAATGTTTTTAAAATTATCATTGTAGTCTGCATTATGACAAATGCCCCTATTTAATTTGTTTTAATTAAATTATCCACTTTAAAAAATTCAAGCATACAGAAACTAATTCTCTGTTGGTAAGACAAGAGTTAAGACTGAAATTTTTCAAGTATAACACAGTCAATTAAAATTTCAGACTCGATACAGTGTTAGGTATTTGATATGTTACGATTAACAATTTTCAGTATTGCACAAAATGAAACCAGATATGATATTTGCATTCAAAAAAGTTTTTGATCCTACACCATTCAAAATGTATCTTTAGCATTTAGAGGTATAGCTGATTTAAAAAATAAATCCTGCAGTATGGATGATGAAAGAAACAGACTGTATGAACATACTTAAAGCATGCACTCACCATTGTCCATCATTTCAAACCTCAACTTTTAAAATGTATTGTGAGATCTTGAGTATACATCAAAGCTGATCTCAGATCAACAAGCACTGTCAAAGGACAGTAACCTTTCAAGTCATAAGAGAAGGAGAAAAAAAAAGGATGACATCTAAAAGCAGAAATGCATGACCAATGTTGAGTCACTGAAGAGTGAAGCTGTACCCATTTGACCCATGTGGAGCCACTGGAGAGTGAAGTTAAAAGCACAAAATAAAGACTGTTTTGGTATCTAAAGTTTGATTGGATAAAAGTTTTCATTTTTAACGGCAAATCAGAGGAAACTCAGTGGTTTGGCTTTTCATTTAATCTTCTCTTGGTGTTTTAGCTGTGTAGTGATCAGCTTCCAATTTCAGGTCTTTGATTCCTAGTTGCGAACCATATGTTCTGGGAGCTGCAGTAACAAAAGAGAAGTATGATATAATTATATTATTCTCTAATAGTGCAAAGCTGTTTGTTTTAGCACAAAAAGAAGCTGGCCATATATTAGCAATAGATATTTTCATACTCCTAGTTTTATAGATTGGTTCGGCTGCTTGCCTGTTTTACCAAAAGTATTCAGAAAACTTCAATTTTGGCTGATTTCTCAAATCAGCAAACATAGCACATGATATTTTACAGAACATATTTCCACAAGCATAGTGAAGTAATTCAAGCTATTGTAAATCAATTACAACTACAGCAGAGCTCAGGTATCTCTCTTACCATCCTCATGTCGCACACAGAGGGACCCTATCTCTAGCCTGTGTTTTTGTTATTTTTTGGTGCTCTTTTCTTTACTAGGCCAATAGCATGATGCTGTGAGTGGGGCACAGGGTAGTAAAGTAGTGCCGAGATCTAAACACTGCCAGTGACTTGCTGTATTAATTTAAGCAAGTCGCTTAACGTCTTCATTGGCCTGATCCAAAGCCTATTAAAGTCAAAGGGAATTTTGCCATTATTTTAACAAGCTTTGGCTCATACTTGAAAAGGATTATTATTCTTGGCCTGATAGTGGGTATTACTGAGAATTTATACCTCCCTGTGACATCACACACCATGGGTAGAACACTGAGAGAACTTCTTTGTGAATATTAAATTTGTTCCCCCAAAAGTAGACTTTTCAGGGCACCAAAGTTTTCAGCAAATAGTTTTGGCCAAAAAGCCTAAATGTTTTCTTCCAGAGATGTCTAGGCCTTTTATTTTCATGTGGCTGAAATAATTCCAGGATGTCTAAACAAACCATTTTGATTTTTCATTTAATAATGTCATTTTTGCCAATTTATAAAAAAGTCAAACACCACCCAACAAAATATAAAAAATTTAGTCTCAAGTTTAAACTTTTTTCAGCTCAGGCCCCAAACCAACCCCCTTACCCTCATTATTCAGTCATTTCTAGTTGTGGGTACTCAGCTCCCTTCAGGATCAATTCCTTCATGAATAACTGGAAGGGCCAACATTTTGGTGCTATTAGTTTATTCAATCACTGCTTCTCACTGATTAGGATGGGGTTATCTATATGATTAACATTAAGCACCTGTGTTACACAGTATGTCTGACTCAGTTTCCCCTGCTGGCTATGTATACATTTCTCAGTTCCCTTCCCCATTACTTTTTACCTACAGGTCCATATTGGGGGAGGGGCAGTGGGCTTTGGATTTCTGGCCATGCCACAAAACACACTTAACTCCTTCCAGGATAACAAAACTCCAACTCGAAATTTTCAGGCTAAACAGGTTCTTCTCACCTTTGTTGGCTCCTCTTCAGACTGCCTATTGGTCCCTGTCCTTAGCCTCTTTCTGAAATACCCTGGAATGTTTCTCCCACTTCAGTATAGAATATAACATGGGCCTGTAGGCTAGTTCCCCAAAAATAGCGACTTCTTAAGGCTAGATTCTCCACAAACACCTCCCTCGGGCTTCTCCCCACCCCCAAGTGATCATACTTCGCCCTTTTGTAAGGCCTCTTGTCCATTAACCTATCATCTGATCACCATAATCATACCCCCTAAGGCTGTGAAGCAGCTAATTCATTACGGCACAAGTGATGCTGGCTCTATCTCCCTTTAAAGAGGTCAGACACCCTGTAACAACAGGTTTTAGTGATTTGCTGAATGAAGGTCTGAGTCCACAGGTTTTATTAGGAACACCGATGTCTCTATCTACTCCTCTGCCCACAGACAGAAGGAGACAGCAGGCATCCTGCAGACTATATAAATGTTCTAAAGTCCAGAAGTAGTAAGAGGAAGAGCAGCTGAAAGTCTCTGGGTAAAGACTCAAACATGCTGCCTTTATATCAGCCACTTTGTTAGATGCACCTAAGATGTGTTGTATGTCAAAATCTTAGAAAGTCAAACTTCAGTGAAGGAATTTCCTGTTAGTCTTTTTGACTGAATGAAGCAACTGAAGAGCAGAATGGTCAGTCTGCAGATGAAAGCGTTGTCCCCAAATTATGGCCGTAGCTTCTCTAGAGTATATACAATGGCATAGCATTCCTTCTCAGAGACAGACCAGTGGCTTTCCCTCTCAGGTTTTTTTTTTTTTTTACTGAGGAACACACCAGGGTGGAACTGTTGCTCTAGTCTTGTTTGCATCAAAACTATCCCCACACCATGCCCTAGCGTATACATGGTGATGATGAAAGGTTTGTCATGGTCTGGGGCCTTGAGTACAGGGTCAGACCTCAGAGCAGCCTTCAACAGGTGAAAAGCTTCCTGACACTTCTCAGTCCACTTGACTGCGTTTGGTTGCTTTTTTCTGGTCAGGTCTGTTAGTGGTGCAGCAATCTGACAGAGTGGTACAAATCGCCTATAATACCCGGCCAAACCGGGGAAGGACTGGGCCTGCTTCTTTGACAGTTTTGGATAACCTCTACCTTAGCCTGTAGAGATTCCTTGACCCACCTGGTGTCCAAAGTAAGTCACCCTGTTTAGGCCAATTTGACTTTTTTGGCCTAAACTGTGAGCCCTGCCTCCCTTAGGCACTGGAAGACAGCTTGGAGGTGTTCTGCCCGTGAATTAGAGAATACAGCCACATCGTCCCGATAGGCCACTGCAAATTCCCCAAACCCGGCTAGTGGATTATCCACAAGCCTTCGGAAGGTTGCAGATGTAATGCGCAGCCTGAAAGGGAGAACATTAAACTTATACAGTCCTGTATGTGTAACGAAGGCTGACTTTTCCTTGGCTGCTTCATCCAGGGGACAGTTGGCTTTTACATGCCCCAGTTCATTACATTTAAAACATCGCACAACTGGCTCATCACTGGAGTGAGGTGGATTGCCAGAGGATGGGGCGGAGGGACGGGGGAATGTCTGTGGTCTCTCTTGAGGTAGACAGGGACCTTCCTTGCGAGGTGGATTTTTGGAAGACCCCCTGTGGTGGGATGCCTCTTCTGGTTCTCCCATAAGGGATGTCCAGAGGGGGCATCCCACCACAGGAGGTCCTCCAAGAATCCACCTCGCAAGGAAGGTCCCTGTCTACCTCAAGAGAGACCACAGACATCTGTTTTCCATACTGCTTTTCCCATCTGGCACCAAGCACTCCTGCCTCTCTTAGGGATTGAGGCTTTCCATCTAGGATGTACCCTCTAATCTCTCCAGGAACACCCTCTAGGAACTGTTCCATCTTCATCAGGAGATAGAACTCTTCCCAGGTGTCAGCCTTCTCCCCTGAGATCCATGTTCTCCAGCTTTTGGCTACACAATGGGCATGTATGGGAAATGGCATGTCCTGAGTCCACTTTAGGCCTCTGAACTGACAATAGGCCTGTTCAGAAATGAGGCCCATCATTAGTCTGGCCTCTTGCTTAAACAGTTCATTACTGTTCATGTAGTTTCCTGGCACGTCAGCTGCCACCTCTAGTAAGGGACCAGTGATTTGAGATCTTAATTCTATCATGTACTGATCGGGGGGGGGAGGAGGGGAATGTTGTATCCTGACAAGCCCCCTCAAAATTTAGAAAAGTCATTATCTCCCACCTGGTACATGGGGGAATTTCCCGGGATGTTGTACAGTGATTGGAGCAAGGTTGTTGGGTGGTGCACCAGGAGTGTCTGGCCTTTTAGCTTTCTCCATTTCAACTTCTAACCACTTGATTTCCACTTCTCTGTCCTTCATCTTTAGGGAGAACTACATCTCGCTCTAAGTTAGAGGTCTGTCTTCCATCCCGAAGACAGTGGTGAGGGAGGGGAATGGCCGCCATTCACTGCTCCTGCCTCCACAAGGTTACCTTCCCTGGGCCTCATAGGAACATTCTCCCGTTCCCTTTCCTTAGGGTACAAGTCTTCCCCAGAAGTGGACATCTTGCCCTGATCGGAGTCTGTTTGCACCTCGGTTTTCACCTAGGGAGGGTTGGTTGCTCTAGGGCTACTCTGCCCAACTGCAAAAGCATGCACTGGGCTGCTTCCCCATTCTACTCTAGCCTAGCTATCCAGTTACCCTGAAAATCAAACTGTTTGGTTTGGACTCTCTGGCTGTGCAGATTTAATCTTCTGTGTGCCTTTTCCCAGTCAGGCAGCAAAAGAGGGGAAAAAAAAGTCCCCAAACTTCCAAACAGCAGGGTAAAAAAGTGTCCTTTTAAAAGTCTGAGGTCTGTGTTTCTGGTTCAAAATGATCCCACCGCTACCACCATGTCAAGGATCCCACCGCTACCACCATGTTCCCCACTCTGGCACTTTGAGTGCAGAAGGTGAGGGCTCGCAAAGACCTTAAATACAGTGCCTCTATATGCTCTGCTTACAAAAAAAACTCCCCAGAGTCACAGCTTTGGGTGGTAGCTGACACCACCAAGTGAAACAAAAGAAAACCTCTTTCTTCTTGAACCCAGGAAGAAGCACTTGGACTTCTTCCAGAAGGGTAACCTCAAGTTCCTTTACCATAAAAGAGAGCTTGAAAAACAGAGAAAACAAACTGCAATCTCTGGTAGCTAACCCCTCGTCTTCGGCAGGCAGACAGACAGTCAGACACACACACACACACAGCCCCTGTTCCTTTCCAGGACGCGAGAATCAAATCACCTTAAAGTGATTTTTATTAACAAAACAAAAGCTATACTTAATAAAGCGTACTTAGTTGAGAGGTGTTACAAAGCAACTAAGGGGGAAACAAAACAGAGAAAATCTCTGGGAACAACTGTTAGACAGTGAATGGGGGAGGGGAGTCAGAATAACACAGAGTAGTTCAAACCAAACCACAAAAATTAAGAAAAATACCCTAACCATGACTAAATACACGTTTCCCTTTATTTACTCAGATCCCTTCCTGGTTTAGTCCACTTCCATGTCCAAATTCCTTGGAAGCATGGTAGTCCTGCCTGGGTTTAAATTATTCTGTGTCTCAACTCCTGGCTCAACTTCAGACCGACAGAGCGAACAGTTACAGGTATATATTTACAATTTAAATTTCAGCATGTATCTCATTGGTTCTTCTGGCTCCCTGCCACCAACAACCCTAGCTTCCTGAGTTTAACCTTTTAGAAGGCCTGCACTCCTCCTATCCATCACAAGCACCATGATACAAATAATAAAATGCAATATCAGGACTTGGTGCTGATTTTTATTTTTTATTATGCATCTCCAGTTTGGTGCTCCAACTCAAATAAGAGAGTCCTTGTTTTAGACTGTGAAGTTATGCCTGGTCCACTCTATTAGAAGAATTTGCAGAGAACACTACAATCATTGAGAGCAGGTGTCAATCACAATGCCAACCCATGCAATGGAGAGTACAATTTTCTGCAAGTTCATAGAAGAAGCAAGTAATATTTATCAACTAGCAGACTTACCCAGTGCTGCCCAGGTCCTTCAGGACAGGGCCTTGGGAATATGGGGGTACAGGATGCTGTGGGATAGCAGCCTGTTTTCTCTCTCCTCCCCCAGGCCACCCCCCCCACCATCCTGCCTAGGGCCTGTTTTCTCTTCCCCCGCCCCATCCGCCAGGCCATCTCTTCTCATCTCCCAGGAACTGTTTTTTCCTCTCTCTCTCCCACCTCCCAGGGACTGTCTCCCCCACCCAGCTCTCCCAGGGCTTGTTTTTTCATCCCCAGGCCACCCCAAGCTGCCAGGGGCCTGTTCTCTTCCTCTCCTCCCCCCCAGTGTTGCAGTGGAGGGGGGTTGGAGCAGGGGCTCCCTTATGGTGATACGGCTGCCCCCAGTGTCCACACTCTTATTACATCCCTCTGAAAGCATCCCCTCCCTTTGAATGTTATGGAAAACTGTCCCTTTCCCAGCGCTTCAGGTTCTCCTGGCACAACCAAACCCTGGCCTGGCTTTAAGTTAGAAGAGGAAGCTGAATATCAAATTTGGTGGCCCTATCCCTTATTGTTTAGGAGAAATATTGGAACAAATGGACTCTCGGACAAACACACTCTAAAATATATAGATTCCTACTGCTGTTTTTTCTAATCTGGTGTTTTAAAGGACATATGTTAAAGAAATGCATATGACATTCTCTTTATACAAAAAAGAGAGACCTCTAGGGTGTGTAAGATTTGAACTTTTCACAGATCTTAATTTTCAAGAATTAAGAATAAATTCACTAGCTTAAATAAAAAAAACATTTACCAGCTAATTTCCTGCAGTTCTTTTCCTTATTAGACATGCATACACTTGTTAACCTCTTCTATGCCTAAGCCTTATCAATCATAAGTACCACTGCTATTACTGTCAGCTTTTAAGTATCAAATATATTAGAAATCTTTATCTATCCAATTTTTGAACAGGATGTTGCATAAAGGATGTATAAACAGGATATTAATCATGGAAATTCAAAACCCCAAAATACAGTCAGGGTTTTAAAAATATTTTAAAAACTAAGTGACGATAATTATTTAGTAATGCACTGTTGTGTTAGTTATCTTCTAGAGTAAATGTGTTCCACTGAGTCGAGATAAATGGTGAATGATAATTTGAAAAGCAGTAAGTAAAAGGCAAAAGGAAAATAATTTTTGTAAACAACAGGCACTAAAGTTAAACATGACTTACCGCAGCTTTCAAAGCTTGTTCCAGATCTTCCAGTATATCTTGTATGTTCTCCAAACCAACTGACAGGCGAATCAAAGTATCATTGATCCCAAGAACCTCCCTCTCCTCTTCAGGAACCGAGGCATGAGTCATAATGGCCCTGAAAGAAAATAATAGCCTTTCTGTGCACCACTATTCATTAGGGGCTTTATTAAAGAACTAATTTAGCTAGTCTTTACAATTATTTGCCAAGAATGGTAATTATTTTCTGAACAGCAGTTTTGTCAAAAGCTCAAATCTCAAATAATGCAAATTAGCATAGCTCTAATTAAGTCAATGGGATATGAGCTAGGGCAGTGTTTCTCAACCAGTGGTACAAGTACCCTTAGGGGTACTCGAGAAGTCTGGGGGGTATGCTAACACAACTGAAATTTGGAGAAAACTACATTTTTGTTTTAAGTTTTACAGCACTTTTTTTTGTATTTTTACACCCAAAAATTTCATCGCTTGCCCGCCCGGCTACGATTAAGTTGTTTAAACAAATGTGGTGAAACGGTAGAAAAAAATTGTGTGTGTCTGAAAACTGTAGATACTGAGGGTACTTCTAATTTTTTTTAAAAAGGGTACTTACAATTTTTTTTTTAAATGGGTACTTGATAAAAAATGGTTGAGATACTGAGCTTAGGCAAAGCTACATATCTCTGACTTTACTTCAGCTCTACTGGTTTGTACTAGCTGAGAATCTGGTACAACATTACCTTGACTATGACTGCTAAGGAAAAATGGGATACTTTAGACACTATAGTGCCAAGTTTTCATCTGGAAAAGGAAGCAAAGTCCTATATTTCTTTACTCCAACAACCTTTTTAATGTTTAGAAAAATATAAATACCTGTGATAACAAATAGTCTTCCTGTTGGAAGTGGGCATCTGGTGTTTAAAAAACATGGTTTAAAGGTAAACACAAACAAAACTAAAATAATGCAAGTAATAAAGATAGCAGAACTATTCATTCAAGTTTCAGGCAAGAGGATGAATAGGAAGAAAGAATTTGTGTACTTGGGAAATACATTGTCATTAAGTGTATGCTAATGTAGAGAACTGAAAATAAGAACCCAGTTTTGACAACTGGCAGTGAAAAAAGAGGCAGGAGTACTGTGAGACCAGTGAGTAAGTTACTAATGGAAAGAAAGAGGGTATGCTGCATGTGTCTGTCCCTGCCTGATCTATGGTTTGGAAACTGGGTCTTACAAAGAAGGAAGAAATAGGAGGAAGCTTAATTTGGGTCTTAGGCTGGACATATTGATAACAAGGGGAGAAGGAGGACTAGCAAAGAGAGAACGGCAGGAACGACACAGTAAGAGAGGTGAAAAAGCAAGGACATGAAAGAGACCATCAAGAGATTCTTGAAGAGAAAAAGGACTGAAATTCTAATACCTACAAATCTGTGCTATCGACCAGGAGTGAGCAAAAATTGTGGGCAAATCTGATCCTATATAAACCAGGAAAGGAATCAAGAAGAGAACTGAGTTAAACAAAGAGATTCCTCAACTTTCAAAAGTGGGACACATAGGAAAGAATGCATGAGAGTTTCCTCTCCAAGCAACTAATCTGAAGGTTTCTTCTGTCTTATGTAAGAGCTAATATAGCTTTACAGGTATGAGACTCAATATTGCTCTTACAGAGAGACAGCTCCCACTGATTTCAGTGGAAAGTGAGTCCATATGAAAGGGCAAAAGAAGACAATGGTACACACATTGTGCAGAGAATGGCCAATTTTTCCTATATATTCTCCTTACTTCAAACTGGCAGTCAGTCCATACTAAATTCACTTTCACTACTGGCTGCAATAGCTATGACATTAACAGAAAAGCACATATCTTGAAAGACTCAATAGCTACTTCATCTTTAAAGCCCAGAATGATCTAGTGTGACACAATGATTTAGTGTCAAGCAATGACGCACTGTTACAACCCCTAAATTAAAATACACAAGTTTACTGGGTATGAAAAACAGGTGCACTTAGTTGTGTGTGGAGTGTGCCCTCTTGAGTAAGCAGTTAGAATAGCAGATGTGTCTTACAATAGTAAAACTGAACCTCAAAAGATATGGAACACTGGTTACCAGTCAATTGGATGCCATGTGAAACTGGAAGCAACCAATCTGGCATCAGCAGAGACCCAACCCTCCTGAATACTATATTGTGCTTGTATTGCATCCTAAAGGTAAGCACAGCTGAGTTGCCTGTTCCCACCTCACCCACAGGCATGGAGAAGCTTTTCACATTAGGGATGTAAGTGACTAATTGATTAGTTGACTATTCAATAAGCAGACGCTGACTAAAAATCAACTAGTCGCTTCCCCCACCTTGCTACCTCTATCAAAGAGAGGCAGAAATGGAGGGCGGGAAGAGATATTTAACATCCCTATTTCACATAGGAGGTGAAGACATTGGGACTGCTAGTCCAAGGCAACCAGAGCCCACACAGCAGGAGCAGCGCTGGGCTCTGCACTACTTTCAACCTCCCGTCCTGCCGCTGGAAGGGAACATGCTTTTACGTCCCTCCCCAGAGAGGGATAAGCTTGCAAACCCAGTCCGATCTACAGAAAAAAAATCTTCCTGCAAGAAAGCTGCCTGCACTGAGGAAGGAGCTCAGCTGTTGCTGGAGCCTGGCCTGGAATGTCAGCTGCTAGATCCCCACACAGGGACTGCCAGTTCCCAGCCCACACAGGATGGGAGCTGACAGCCACGCACGGGGCGGGAGGGGGCTAGTGGGGCTGGAGCAGCCCTCTATCTATGGCTGGGCTGCACGGTGGAGGGGTTGCTCCCAGGTAGCAGTTTAACCATTACCCAGTAAGCATCACTTGTTACCAAGTAACCACTTAACTATCATGTTAAGTGACTATCCGTTAATATCCCTATCAGGGGCTACAGCACCTGCAGAGAAAAATTAGTGGGTACGAAGCACCCACTGGCAGTCAAGCTCCTTCCCTCCCATCCTCCTACATGCCTCCTGGCTGCTGGTGGCCCTTCTCACAAATTCCTGCCTCACCCTCCCAGTGGTTTCTGAATGCTGAAAACGTCGGATTCGCAATGTTTAGGAAGCTATGGGAGGGAGGAGAAGGAGTGTAGATGGGGGAGAAGACAAGACAGAGGAAGGGCACAAAGGTTTGGGGGGAAAAAAGTGGAATGAGGGTGGGGTAGACAAGGGGCGGGGCTTCGGGAAAGGTGGGGATTAGAGGGGAAATCAGCACCTATGGCAGACAGTTTTTTGTTTTTAAACAAAATCTTCTCTCGTATCCTAGTCTACATTCCTACTGTTCAGACTAAACAATATATTGTTTGACAAAGGTTGCCTGGGTCACTATATTCATTACCGGTCACATCTCCTGAAGAGAAGAACTGCAGATAGGATGCAACTAGGTTTTGGCTCTGATCAGTCATGTTTGGTACATTGGGGAATGCGACCCAGCACCACTGAGAGTGGAAGAATTGGGGAATTCCACAACAGTGAAGTAAAGACTTGAGACCCAAGATATTGGGGGACAGGGAGGTGCACTAACAAGTCCAGAAGAGGAGCAGACATACAGCTAGTTCTGCACTATGACTGTTCCTGCTCCGTGCTCCATCCCTAGCATGCCATCTACACCAGGACTTATGAGAGGGTGCTTAGAAGGCAGGCTTACGACCATCATCCACAATGACTGGAACAGGGGAATTTCCCCTGAGACAAAACCAGGGCTTTAAGGACACTTTATGCTGATCCTTTTCCCTGGCATTTTACGGAACTATAATGTTGGTGAAGAAGTCACTGGGAAGGTCTTGCTGACAACATACTCTACTATTCAAAACAAGAGTCTTCCACTGTTTAAACTTCTAAAATAAATGACATCACTGCTCCATTTTTTGACCAGCCATAAAACATGCTTGTGTGATATAAAAATTAGCTCTTTTGTGCTTAGTCACAAAGTGAAACATCTAAATTTTAAACATTACTTAGTTTCAAGATGGTCACAAAATCCAACAGAATCTTTTTTTCCACAGCATGTGCAATTTAAGGATTATTTCCAGTAGAGATTTAAGAGGAAGAATGACTTACGGATGTTCTGCGAGGCTTTCATATCCTCCCAGACTCTCAGCCAGCACAAAAAGCTATCGTAGGAAATATAAAAGTTCAAGTTTAAATGAACAAGCAGTTTTTCATTTGAAACAAAGGCAAGAGGATTTAAAGAAGCTACAGTGTAGGGCAAAAAAAGGCAATGGCATCTTATAATTTACTTAATTTTGAAGTGGAATTCACTGGACTAGAAAACCACAAAAAACTTTCATACCATGGAAAAAAATACTGGATGAAGTAAGAACTAATAATTGGTATGTAGTTTACTAGCAAAAAGTTACTGGGGTCTGAAATGCATTAGCCTTAGTTTGCCTAAAGAAGAGAAGGAAGGGAAAGTAAATTACTCAAGGGAGAAGTTTTTGTTGTGGCTAACCAGGGTGCACTCTTGAGCTTTGAGTGTAATCAAAGAGGAGATAAGATCAACCTGTTTGAAGAATGCAAGAACAGAACCAAAACTTTAAATTAAAATTACTCCCCCTTTCTCTTTTCCATATCCCTCTCCTGTTCTATTAATTCTTATAGTTTCACATACCGCTGCACTTTCTTGGGCCCAATCAAGGGCAGAACTGATGGAACACTATTTCAAAGGCATTTTACTCTTGTTTGCAGGCTTACTAGAATCAGAAAGATAGCGAAATTCTTTTCTCACAAAATTAATCATGATTTTGCAAATCCAGAAATCTGGAGAAGAATCCAAATGTCTGAGTACTTTCTGCTGCATTCAGAAATATATGCTAGATGTGTGGTTGCTGAGAATACAGCAGCTGCTGTCAGGAGCAGCAAGCCTGCTATTGTTCCTCTTGCCTCTTTTGCATTCAGAGCAACTCACTCAATGTATACCCAATCTATTTTAGAAAATACCTCTTTCTTTAAGCATCAGCCCAACAACTAATTAGCCAGAATGCTGACAGACTGGCAGTGCAAGCACTCAAAGGGAGGCAACCCTTGATTCTGGATTTAGCTTCCTGTTATTAATCAAACAGAGGCAGAGATGATTGACCTTCCAGAACAGGATGAAAGGCTAATTTTATACTCAAAGTTTTGTTTGTGGGATGTTATTGGATTATTTGAAATTTCAATTGTGATTTTATTTGGAGAGTGAGAGACAGTGATGGGTGGCATGGTATGGGAGGAAGAGAAGTCCTTAATTTGACCATCAATTTAGATAGTAATTGGTTCTGTTTTCTGCTTTCAAATTGCATTATAGTTGTTGGAATATATGCAAATACTTTTAATAGCTACACATGGTTTAAACTAGCTACAAGAGCCAATTCTGAGAGTAAGCACTCAAATGTGCTAATACTTCCTTTTCTTCTCTCTCATTAGTGTGCCATCTTCTAATTGTTTAGATTGGAAAACTAATATTTTGGGTGGTACCACAAACATATAAGACCATCCCTGCTTTGATAACCACTTCAACTTTCACTACCCTACCTACCAGAACCTAACTGAGCCACAATCAGACTCTCTCTTATAACACTTGTTTTCATTAATATGGAGGGGAAATTACCTTTAAATTCTTGAGAAAGATTTCAGCATGTTCAAGATTTCCTTTAATGTAAAAGGTGACCATCCCAGGACAGCCACTGCTCTGACGCTTCATTAGCTCATGCTGAGGATGCGAGGGCAGTCCTGAAATTAGTCACATATTGTATAACCTGGTTTACTTATACTGTTAAAATTGCATCAGAGAACAGCAAGCCACACTTAAGGCACATAAAAAACAACCTTCAAGAGTTAAGAAACATAGAATCAACTGCAAAATAAAGGTATATGCCAGAGCAATGACTTACCATCCATAGAATTTGATTTCTATCAGCAACACCTAGGACTGCAGCATCTTGTTCCAGAGCCAGAACCAAAATAATCTTCTCTTCAGAAATCTTGCAACTTACCAGGATAAATGACTTTTTCTACTCGGAGATTTGATTCAAGGTACTGAGCAACAGCCAGCGCATTGTGGAAATGTTGCTTCATTCGAATCTGCAGCGTCTTTAAACCCCGATTGCAAAGGAAACAATCAAAAGGAGATGGAACTGCTCCAAGGGCTATAAAATAAAACAATATTACAAATATAAAAACTTTTCTACTTTATTAAATATGTCTTAGTTTCCAAACTGACCCTGATGTAAACAGATCCAATTCCCATTGATTGCTATGGGAACTTTTCCTGTTTACCCTAGGATGGAATATGACCCCATATGTAGAAACTCAAACAGAGTACTTTGATATCACAAAACGTTCAAACTTTAAAACAAGACAAGGGAAAGAAGGGGGAAAACTACATGTGCTTGTGTCTCCCTGACTCCCAGATATAAGAGCTAAAGGCAGTAACTAAAACAGTGACTCCTCTGGGATGAATCTCACCAGACAGAAGGCACTTACACAGACTCCTTTGGGTACATCTACACTGCAACACTATTTTGAAATAACTAGCGCTATTCTGGAATAACTTAATCCGCGTCTACACAGCAGGCAGTTACTTCGAAATAATGTCGAAATACTGTCAAGCTGGAGAACTTCTCACTCCGACTCCTGTAATGCTCATTGTATGAGGAGAAGACGATCCCTATTTCAAAATAAGCTACGCAATTGATGTAGCTCAATTTGACACAGCTTATTTTGAGTTAAGCCCTGTAAGTGCAGACTTTGTTTACACTTACATGAGGCAGGGTGAATACGAAGTGCTCTTTATGCAATGGATAAAAATGAATTTATAAAATTACATAGATGACAGAAAAAAAATGTAGTTGCCAAAACATAAGATTCCCAATTTAGCATACAAAAGGAAATAAAAACTACACTCTGGGTGATTTGGTCATGAGTCTAAAGGAAAATGGATTATGTAACTGGTATCCATTTTTAAAGTAGTTTAATAATTATACGTCCCCTTATATAAATGTAATGACATTTTTTTCAGGCAGTTAAGGGGAAGAAAAGCAATATTTAAGTTAGTTTAGTAAGACACTGTCCTGGCAGTCCTGCAGTCACAAGTCCTCTGTTAAGCCACAGAACAAATATTGCTTCAGTGCTGATTGGAAAAGAACTACCTCAACAGATTAGGGTAATTATTAATGGTTTTTAGTACAGTGGAGCTAAATACGCAGTTTTGTTGGCACTGAGACAGTTCCTTCCTGAGTTTGCTATCTAGGACCCTGACCATGCAAAGAACTTATGCACATGCCTATCTTTACATGCTGAGAATTCCCATTGGAGTCCATGGGACAGCTCACAGAGCCTAAAAATTAAACATGTATGCAAGTCTTTCCAGGATCCAAGTCTCATTTAAGACATTTCTATAGGTAGTCCTTGGTCACTGCTGAATTGGCCCATAGTTAAAAGATAACTATGATAGGTCGATCATAAACATCTCTGTGTAACAGATGACCAGATCCTGTAATATCCTGGACAAACTATGGAAAAAAAGATAAATGTTTAAGCAACCTTACTGAATTAGGGTTAATATCATTAGGGTCTACTGTATTTGTATGGGGGTAGGGTGGGGGTGGTTATGGAATTGAATGTACCTTTTTATAGTCAGAGGGGGATACTATTGTAATTCCTTCACTAAAAGCCCTTTGAGGTCACCCCCATGTATACTAGTTCAAACTGATTTTCCAGAGACAATCAGGCAAAGCAAGGGTTTTTGGATAAATGGCCTAGATTCAAATTGGCTCAAGGCCTGCTTTCTGATCCAGCAAATGGACAGGGACCCAATCCTTAGGGACGGACTGGAAGGTCTTGGTCTAATGAGGCACCATTAAACTGTTCTGAGCTAAAGTGGTAATGAACTTGAAACAAGGAGAAGCCCTTTGGAGTATTGAAGATCCCATATTAGGGTTGGGATGATCTCTAGTAAGATTAACAAGTGTGTAAGCTCTTTTTTTATTTATAGGTTTTGTCTGTGGCACTTTTACCTAAAGACTAAAATAGGCTGTGCAGAAAGAGCTATGTGATAACTTATGACTCTTATCAGTCTCTGTAGAGAAAGCAAGCGTATATTCCCAGGCAGCCTCTCTCTGCTGGATATAACATGGTGAAGGCAGGAAACAGTACAGCCTGGAAATACTCCAATAAGAAGTGAGTGAGACATGGGTGTCTACACAAAAAAGGCAATGTCTAAGAAACTAGAAGCCAGAGAGCAGGTGCCCATGCTGCACCACAGAAGAGGAATGCAGGTGCAGTTGCCCTGCACTGGGACATATTTCACATAGGCCAATAGATGACTTGGGATAAATTTAAACACATGAGGTGAAGTCCTGGCTACAATGAACTTAATGGAAGTTTTGTCATTGACTTCAATGGAGGATCTCATCCATAATGTTAGAAACAGAGGCTGGTACAGAAGCTTTTATTAATCCAGACCCCTCATAATTAAAAGGATAATAACCATTTTCTTTTACTGTTTTTTTTCTGTTCTAACACCTGACAATAATAAAAATATTTGCCCTACTTATACATGGAAATAGTAAATACTGCTTTTTATCAGTAGATTTCAAAGCATTTTATAAAAGGCCAATAGCCTTTATCCCCATTTTACTGCTTTGGAAACTGATAATGTGTAGTCTAGATACATAGCTTTCATATCTGTAAATACACCGCATGCTTTCTGCTGTGTACAGACATACATGGATCCAATATATTTTAAAAGAATTTCCTGTGTTGGCTACTTACCATTTTGTAAGAATTTGAGCCTTTCATAGAGATCATCACAATTTACTGAAACCAATCCCATTACAACATCACTGTGCCCTGAGTTAAAAGAAGAGCATTAAATTGTTAATTTGCAGGAAGCTTTCAATATATAAAGGGTTGGGAGGTTGTTTTCTTAGTCCCACTACTACGTATTTTCTTTTCCGTTTGGGCATTTCAAGACATCATATATTCCTTCTCACTCCTGCTGTCATTTGCACACTAACATTCAGGCCAAGATCCAGGCGAGCCTCCTCCAGGATGCTGGTTAATGCTCTACCCTGTAGCCACTGGTGGGCCTGCATATGTAGTACAGGCAGTCCCCGGGTTACGTACAAGATAGGGACTATAGGTTTGTTCTTAAGTTGAATTTGTATGTAAGTTGGAACTGGCTCCAGATTCAGCTGTTGCCACTGAAACTGACCAGGGGCTGACTACAGGAAGCCGGAGGCAGAGTTGCTCTGCCCCCAGCTTCCTGGAATCAGCCTGATCAGTTTCAACAGCTGCTGAATCTGGAGCCTGGGACAGAACAGCTGGGGCGCTGCCCGGTAGGTTCCCACAGGACCAACCCGGCAGCACCCCAGCTGCTCTACCCGAGGCGTCCCGCAACAAAAGCCTG